TTTTTTTTTTTTTGCTTTTCTTAACAAATGTTTGCAAAAAAAAAAAGTACTTTTTTTTGACGCTGAAGTAACGTCTTACCACTTCAGCATTTCAGCAGTAAAGAACTGTAAGGAAAGAACACCGCATACAGTCAATAAGTTGTTTTCTTTTTTCGGTTTAAAAAAATTGCCAAAGAAGAAAGGAAAGAAAATACTCCTTTTTTTTTTAAAAAATTTAAATCTTGCTAAATAATTTATTCGAAAAATTTGCAAATTTTCCTTCCTTCTTTCCACCTACTTTTTTTTTTTTTGCTATTTCTAAATTATGTAACAAACGTTAGAGGAAAATATCTAAAATACAAGTTCTTCTTTTTTTGTCTCTTTGTTTTATACAGTTGTACTAACTGATGATTTACTTGCTAATACAGTAAAATTTATTATCTGTTGCAAAAAGAAAATTTTTTGTTTGCAGTTAAACAAGTTCTGCTAAAAATTTTCATCAAAGCTTTGTCTTACCGGGTATAACGATGGATAACTCTATCAGCGTAACCTGGTTTTGATAGAACTACTGATAGGTTTTAACAAAACATTGTCAAATACGGCGATAATAGTAATCAGTTGTTTTTTTATCAGTACTTCTATTATAGTATCATCACATCTTTGCTGTTTTATTGTTATTAGTAGTCGTTGTTGTTGTTGCAGTTAAAAGTTGCGGTACTAAATCGTATCGCAAACCCCAATGTAAAAGCATCATCATTGGGGTCGTAGAAAGTGCCAATAATGTAAAGACGAATAACACAAATAATAAATAAGTTAGACAATTTGGTGGATTATTTTGTTGTGTTGATATACTATTGCTGATGTTGTGGTTAACCAACCAAACTGTCAAAAATTACTGACGTTTTACCAGTGACCAGTTCAGTCATAGTTTGGTCGATTAGTTAGTTGTGTTGTTCGGTCAATTAGTTGGTCAGTAGTTGATTAGTTTGACTGCTTGGTTGGCTAGTTACTTGGCCCGTTGACTGTTAAGATGATGACCACTAAGATGTTGTTGAAAACTAACTATCAAACATTTCCCAGTTTTTCAATCAAGAATGAAAAAAAAACTGATCGTCCTAATTCTAATCGGGTACAGAAAAAAAAAAGTCAGCCTTCTTTTTGTTCTTGCTGTTCAAAATTCATTGAATAAAAAGTAGTGCAAAACTTTAACATGAATTTTTTCTTTTTTTTTCTTCCTTTTTCTATCTTTTTTCCCTCATTTTTTCTTCTTGTTTGAAGACTTCCGTTCTGTTTAAATGTCCCCTTAACCCGTTCCATTCATTCATTCGCTTATTCATTCTAAACTGCAGTCCAAGAAGAATCGCGCAAAAAAAAAAAAGGAGCACTACTTCTCTCTTCGTATTTCTAAGCTGACATCTTAGAACCAAAACGAATACCAAATATTATAAAGAGAAAAAAAAAGAAGTAAAATTTATTGACATTAGCTAATCCGATCGGTGCATTAGCAAAAAAAAAAGCTTTTTCTTTCCTTCTTTTTTTTTATCGGCACTAATAATCTGTCTTCACGTTACAGGCTTAACGCGTAATTGTCCACCCCTCAATTGAACTTCGCCTATTTTCTGCCTTCTATTTTTATTGAGAACAACAAAAAAATATGTATAATTTCATGTTGTCTCCTTTTATAGCTCTAAACAAGTTAACATCTTTTTTTCCTTTATTCAGTGATTGATGCTAGTCTTCTCAGCTAAAGTTTTTTTTTGTCACCAAGAAAAAAAACTTTTTCAACCAATTTATCGTTAGCGATTTCATTGAAAACTGTGTATTAGTATATATGCTTCAAATAAACGCCAATTTAACGACAGCTCTTCTTCAACAATTTTCATTACTCCTTTTCACAGGTGCTCACATACCGCTTTAACACACATTTTGTCATCTTCAACAATCTTTCAAGCAACAGTTCTTTTTTATTTTTTATTTTTATTTTTCTGCGAATGTTAATGCTCTGAAAGTGAGTCAAATGATACCAAATATTGCTGCTACTAATCAAGGGGAAAAAACCAATGTAAAAACGGAATACCTTAGCTGAATGATTAATTTAGCTTCTCTTTGCCATTACATATATCCCTATTCGTGCCTTCTGCCATTACTCTCCCCCTTCCACCTTCCCTTCTCCGCTTTTTTTTCAGCTCCATTCCTCCTTACTTCCCTCTTCCATCCTCGTCCCTCCTCCTGCATTTTTGATGCGTATAACTCTTTTAATGGTTCAACAAAAGAAAGTGACTAGGAGTGAAGAAATAATAATGAAAAAGGAGGTTAGGGAAGGAAGTAAGAGAAGATAAACGATTGAACAAAGGAATAGAAAAGCAGAAGGAAAATGAAACGATAAAAGAAATTTAGAACTATTTCAAAATATACGATAATAATGCTTAGGCAAAAAAAATATATATATATAAGAGTCAAAAAATTTACTAAACGTTTTTTCCCTCTTTTCAATTAAACTCTTTAACACTTTTTCCTTCCGTCTTTTTCCTGAAAAAATTACATTTTTTCGGGCCATACGGAGAAAAAAATAAAAAAACAAACGCTATACACTTAATTTTCGAAAGTGGTCCGCATCAGGCATTTAAAAAAAGATTATATGACCTATTTTGAAGTCTGCAAACAATTTGACGATCTTCAATAATTAGTGACCAAAAATCGAAAAACGGAGTTCATGAATAAACAAGCTACTGTCGATGCGGAGAAAAAAGTGGCGTTGAAAATGGACGATTGGCATTTTGAGGATCGTCGACGATCTGAATAGCATACAATAAATTAACTCTATTTTCAACGCTGTTCTTCCAAAACTGCAAAACATTTCCGGCAATGAAAGCTTAGTTGGACTTCGTATTTTTAGTTGATCTATCTACTAGAATTGATGATAAGAATGATCCTGTACGCAGTCTAGGCCAATGATTGGATTATCATTTACAAAAATGATTGCCACAGTGATAACTACGTTTTTTGAACGAGTTGAACATGTAATTGCCGAGTGACCGTTGGAAAGGGAATAACCCGGGAACGATAGATGGGAAACATGGAACGGATGCAACAGGGGGCCAAAATCACTATCTTTTGGGTACTTGTGTGTGTCTCTGTGTTTATGTATGTGCCATGTTAGTGAATGAGTCTGTGTCTGTGTGTGCAGGACCCTGCGATTGTGTGGTGTTCGGAGAGCAAGGTCGATTGTGGCGGGTATGTGGGCTTGGCCAGTTCATTTTTACTTGTATCACACCTGATGGCTGCCCGTCGCCTTTTTTCACTGGTGACATACGTGACCTTGTGTGTCCTCTGTTTTTTTCTCTCCTTTTGCTCTCTCTCTCTCTGTCTTTGTCCCAACCGTTCCTCTGTGTGGCTCCTTGCACCTTGTGGTCGCATCAGCTCGGCGATCGCATCAGAGCCGCTGATCCGACGAACTGGAAGGTTCGCGGTTTGGATGAGCGAATGCGTGAAGTTCGTGCAACCCGAACAGCAGGTGATTGATAGTGTGGATCAAAAACAGATTGCAGTGCAGAAGGTTTCGGTTCAATGCTCAGTTTCTTGTTTTTAGCTTTCGTTTTTTTTTAACCTTATTTTTGTAGATTATTTGTGTGCTCAGTAATTAAGTGCAATTAATGGTTATTAGGGAAACGAAAAAGAAAAAAAAAAGAATAAAAGCCAATATTTACCTGTAAAGTTTGATTTGGTTTTGTTGAAATATTAAAAAAGATGGTCTAAATAGTAGAATGTCCTTTCAACGCTCAGTGTTTTCGCTTGACTAACGAAGTAGTTTTTTAGTGCAGTTTAGTGTTGCTTTGAATTTGACGTCTTGTTTTTGCTTTCATATTTATATTTTGTT